ATCTTATATTTCGGACAGTGACGTGCTGCAATGAGGCATGTAACTACGTGAGTAGGGGAAAGGTGTCCGCTGTCTGCATTTGGCTGCTGGGTGTAACAGAGTGTATTGTGTTTCTCTGGTTACCTGCTGGCTGTAAAACAGCACATAATCACTGGTGGCCCTCTTTTTCAGCACCGATGCCTCGTTTGACCGCTTCACCTTATGGTCATTAAATGACAGCCAGCCCATTTCCTCCTCGTGAAAGGCACTGCTGACATAGTGACCTACAGGAAAGACAGGTAGGACACCCTCTATGTATATATTTTTTTTAAAATTTCTTCTGGGTCACATGACTTTAGCATCTTAAGTATACACATTTTCGAGCAGCTACTCTCATATAAGCATTTTCCCTACCTGACTGTTGCTACGCAAATGTGTATGACAGTAGTGGGTGACATTACAGCACTCGCATGTGATTCTTTGCAGTGAATAAACGTCGTCTTAAAAAACAGAACCTGTCTGAGGTCTGTGTGAGCGTACATGCATCTTACCATAGGTGGCGCTGGAGCCTAGGTGGCTCAGAACGGAGACGAGCCGATAATCCTGAGCAGCAGGCTGTGTCTCTGTTCCTCTCTGAAGAGAAAAGTCATCGTCAACTTCACCTCCCTCTAAGTAAGCTCCACCACTCTGCATCTCCAGTCTCTCTCACTCTCTTTTCTTACTCTGCTTCACTAATATTCTAACGTCACTCTCTCTCCCTCACGTATCTTCCTCTATCTCTCCCTACCCTCAGCAGTGCAGCTGTACGCTGCTCTGTCACTGTCTCTGCTCTGTCTGTTTAAGGGGGATGGGAATCATAGGAGAAACCAAACACAATCACACGAGAGGTGAAATGACATTTCATGACATTTAGTCATAGATAAAATTAATGGTTTAACGAAAATAACGGTAAATCCCTCTATATAATTTTCGATGCGCTCCTGCAGAGTGTAACACTCTCCTCCGCCACAGGAGCTGCCCCATCTCCGCCGAGCATCCTCAGGGAGTCTTCCGGTACATCCGCCGTCTGGTTCTGCGTTTTTGGGGGCTCGATTCTCCCGTCGCTAAACCTGATGGCTGAACCCTGATGATCCCCGTGCTCTAGTCCTCCAGCTGACCTGCAGGAGATCCATGCAATCAGACTATTGTTCATACAAGTACAAATGTCTTTATAAATACTGTTGGTCTATATAATCCCATTGTTTGTAAGAACTGACAATGTATATGATTGTGTCTGCTCTAATTTTGGCATTTACTGTAAGTCTCTATGCAGATGCAGACTTACAGATGTGCCTCTTCCAGATGAGGTTCCTCTGGCTGGGGAGTCACCGTCAGCTGGGAGATCTCCTCACTGAGATGAGGGAGCAAGGTGACCTCCCGACAGAGGAGAACTGGGTCCTGCACTTTCTTCACCTGATATTGTGGCGTGAAACTGAATCTTTTTAAGTGCAGGACCAGGACTCTGCAGAAGTAAAGGGAGAGTCAGTGAGAGAGAAAGAGGATTAGTATTGAACACACAAACCAAATGAATCACATACAGGTTAACACAAAAATATCCATTTGGCCCAGTGTGCACTTTACTGAACAACATGCATATATTGTGTGTATCTGTTGTTGATTTCACTGGAAAAGTATCCAACTCACCGAAGCAGTGTGACGAATGCCCACGAGAGCACAGCCTGGCTCCCCCCGCAGGCGGCACATGTGGACTCGACCTCCGTATCCTATAACAGCACACAGCAGTACTCAGTGATGAGCGCCTTTCACCAGGACCATTACAACACAACACTTTTGATTGATTGATTGATTGATTGATGAAACCCTTTATTGCTGTTGCAATACACCTTGTCACTAGTCACAAGTACCAGCGAAATATTGGCCATCAACCCGACCATACATATACAACACACGTAGGGGGTAGACAGGTCAGGAAGACAGGGGACTATAGGAAAACTCAGAGAAACAAGATTACGCGAGGAGAGTTGTCGTCCCAGCTAGTATATGGTGGGGTAGATGTACAAGTGTGTGTGTTTCTCTGTGGCATGCAGCTAGCTGTGAGTGATCCTGTTTGTGCAGAGCCACAGATACCTTGAAGTAGTTCTGGAGGAGGTCTTGCACAGACCGACAGGAAAGAACGTCTAAGGACAGATTATTAAATCCCTCTGTCTTGGAGGTCTGTGCTCCACAGCTGCCGAAAACCAAGAAGGAGGAAAGAGATACAAAGAAACTGAATATTTCAAATATACCGAATCAGTAACATCTGGACCTTCAATAAGAACTGGATCCCTAATGCAGGTCTATCAATAGTTTAGGTCTTTGTGGCAGCAGCACGCAAGGCATTCAGACAGGTGTGTAAAACCAGTGAAACCTGCAGCTTTTACCTGGTACAGGTCTTCCGACAGCATCTCAAAGGCCAGGTTTGCCTCAACTGGGCAGAGGTACGTAGCCGTACTCTCCCTGGCCTGAACTGATATTCCCAGGTCACTCAACTGGGAAATCAAAAAAGTGAGGAATTCATGGGCGTCCTAGATGACAGGAGATAAGCAGAAAATGTTTGCAATAATTCCAAAAGACAACAATCAGAATAGCTTAGTGATTCTTTATTCATGTATAGAAGTATTTTCTTACACTCTGCTCGTCTTCAGTGAACTGGCCTGAAAACCTGCCCATCAAATTCCTCAATAGTTGCTTCTTCTGCTTCACCCTTGACTCAGGTGTAGTCAGAAGATCAGTGAAATGTCTGCAGATCAAGAGAGACAGAGAGTGAGAGCTGGTATCTCCATTTCCACTCATCATTATGATTATTGTGATTAGGTCAGTAACATGTGGACAATGCAAGTAAAAAATCACACGTATGGAGTTCTGTATGGGGGTGGGGATGCTCCTGCTGGGTACCTCATCAGGTCTGTAGACGGGACCAGCCCCCAGTGTTCCTTCTGCCTAGTGATGTCCTGGCAGAAGGACGGTAGATGAAACAGGCACTGCAGGGTGGCGTTCATGAAACAGGTCTGCCCCAGGTTTGGTAGCCTAAAAGACAGAGAAAGAGATGTGCCTTAAAACCTCGCCCACCCACGTCATTGGTGCTGATTGTAACAGTCGGAAAACCCTGCCTTGGGAGGTTCACGGGAGCTTAGCACTTACCCGAGGCAGACCAGCCGCTGGCGTCCTCCCTCTGCAGCATCACCCCTGTCCTTCTTGGGGGACCTGGGAGTAGAGATGATGCAGGAGAGAAAGAGAATGAAATGATAAGCTTATCAAACATCTTAATAGAATTAATTACAGATATACCACTGTGATCACATATACTGGTTACCTTTTCAGGAAGCTGGAAGGTCCTCCATCTGACGTGGTGTTTCCTGTCACCACCGGAGGGGACTGGTGCTCCTCTACATTACTCTGAGTAGAGGAGGTGCTTGATATCAGTGACTTGGAGGAAACAAGAACACATTCTGTTTCAGAAAGGGATACAAGGGCACCACTGAATTTTGAAATCACACTGGTAATATTTCCGATCTGTGTACCTCAGAGTCGACAGTGACTACGCACGGACTCTGGCTGTTCGTGACAGCGTTACTGTCCCCAGAGTCCATGCAGTCAGCTGACTTCTGTTCATCCTCCTCTCTGCTAAAAGCGCCAGAACCGCTACAGTGAGTAGAGAGTTCAGGCGTGAGAGAAATGACTGATAATGGTATATAGAAAACCTGGGTACTACCTCTCCTTCACTGTGCTTGCTGCGTTTTATCCATGGGAACTTGCGCACAAACTTAAACCTCCTTTTCTGGGGCTTCTTGCTAACCTCGTTGTGGACTGCCCCTTCAGCAGCGCCAGTGTCACGCTGCAGTTTACAGAAGATGAGTCAGTGTAAGGAAATGAGCACTGAATACAGAAACATAGATAAAGTGTATATGCCTTCTGTGTACCTCCGAGTCGACAGTGACTACGCACGGACTCTGGCTGTTGGCGACACCGTTACTGTCCCCAGAGTCCATGCAGTCAGCTGACTTCTGTTCTTCATCCTCTGTGCTAAAAGAGCCAGAACCGCTACAGTGAATAGAGTGTTCAGGCATGAGAGAAAGAGTGACTGATAAAGGTATATAGAAAACCTGGGTACTACCTCCTTGGCTGTGCACTTGGTATGTTTGAGCCATGGTAACTTGCACCCAAACTTAAATTTCTTTTTCTGAGGCTTCTTGATGTCTTGTTTTTGTACTGTCCCTTCAGGAATACACCTCAGGAGCTCTGCTCATTATTTGCTATTATTGGTTTGATTTCTTCAATTTATTGTGTATGACAGTTTTTTTTGGTTTATTGGATTTCTTAAATTTTTTTTTTGCCTTGCCCCTGTCTGTACTTTAGCTTTGGGTTATTTTCTCTTTGATCTTGATCTCGCCCGGTTTTTGGTTTACGTCTTCGCGCACCCCTCGGACTTCTGTCGCTTTTCTCTGTGTATATTCTGTGTGTGTGTGTCAGGTGCGTAGGGAGTGATTGCCATTTTTGTTTGCGACATAATGTTGTATGCTGTTTGGATAGGGAGTGAGGCATAGTATTTGTCGTTTTGTTTTTGATTTCTTTGCACTTAGGTAAGTTAGCTTTGGGTTGCCTTCAGAAGCTGGGTTTTGTTTATTGTTTTGGCTATAGTCACTCCTGAGTCCTTTTGCACCGGGTTTATTTGTTCTATGTCCGTGTAAATAAAAAACAGAAAATTTTTTAAGAATACCCCTTTGTCCACGTGTGTTCACTTGTCCACCACACCCTGTTATTCCCCTTTCACTTTATGCCCCAACCCTAGACTGGGGCTCGTAACATAAACAGAAGCAGAAAAGAATGTGAAAGCAAGCCAGGTTCTGGTATGATTTGCGGTGTCATACCTCAAAATGGTCCATGAGTGTGTGAACAGCATAGAACATGAAAGGAACATGGAAGAATAAAATGGTCATTGTCACATGTTTTAAAATTTTTAAGTTTAAAGGTTTCAAAAGGGGGAGAGAACCATCATCATCTGCCGCTTGTCCGGGGTTCGGGTCGCGGGGGCAGCAGCTTC